ATCCTTACCACCGACGCGTCAGACTTCGCTGTAGGAGCAGTGCTTTCTCAGGTCTTCCCTTCATCTCCTGATTCCTCTCATCCTCGTATCCCTCACTTCCCACCACCTACCCCTACCACTGCTTCCCGACTGACGCCTACTCGTCCAGCTACTGACGAGCCTTCTATTGACTATTCTCCTACCATCGCCGAGGACGACACTGTCGAGTCTCGCTCAGGTGATTGTCCGATAGCCTTCTACTCCCGCTAGCTCCTGCCCGTCGAGATAAACTACACTGCTGATGAACGTGAGGTTCTCGCAGTAGTTTATGCCGCTCGGCATTGGCGTCACTACCTGYACGRGGCACCATTCACGGTGCGCACGGACAACTCTGTTGTCCAGGCTTTTCTGACAAAGCCGAAGCTCACTCCTCGACAGGCTCACTGGTGGCGCGACCTTTCCGAGTTTAGTTTCACCACTGAGCACATCAAGGGTGAGACTAATCGGGTCGTCGGTGCCCTATCCCGGCGCCCTGACCACGACCAGGAGCACATCCAGCTCTCTTCCATCTCGGTCAGCACCGTCCACCACTCGGTGATCGACGAGTTTCGCACTCAGTACCGCCACTGCCCCGACTATCGTGACATCCACGCGACCCTTCGGAGTGGCAAGACCGTCCCGAACTACTCTCTCGAGGACAACGGTCTTGTGTACTAGAACGGTTCACAGGGCACCAGAGAGCCCCGTATTTGTGTTCCCTCCACTGGACAGCTACGTGTCCGAGCAGTAGCAGAGTTCCATGACCAGGCAGCTGCCGGTCATATGGGCTTCCACAAGACGTTGGCTCGGGTGAGCCGCCTGTACGTCTGGCCGAAGCGCAAGGACTTTGTGAAGAACTACGTCGCAGAGTGTCCCACCTGTCAGGAGGTGAACAGTGCGAACCACCTATCTTATGGTTTGCTCCAGCCTCTTCCTATCCCTGAGGGTCGTTGGCAGTCCATCTCGATGTACTTTATCGGTCCTCTTCGACCTCCGACCCCCCGCGGTCATGATGCTATCCTGGTCGTCGTCGACCGCTTCACGAAGCGTGCACGCTTTGTTCCGTGCCGCTATGCCATCAGTGCACGTGAGGTCGCCGACATCGTATTTGACCGAGTCGTGCGTGACCACGGCTTACCTCTAAGCATCATATCTGACCGTGACCCGCGCTTTACCAGCCGATTCTGGCGACGGCTCCACGAGGTGTACGGCACTAAGCTCCGCTTCTCCTCGTCTTACCATCCTCAGACTGATGGTCAGACCGAGATCACGAACAGGACTCTCGGGGATATTCACAAAAAGATTGTTAGTGACGACCAGCAGTGGGATCTCCATCTTACCCACGCGGAGATAGCCTACAACCACGCCGTCTCGCCAGCCACGGGGATGTCGCCTTACTATTGCGACCTTGGCTATCACCCGCGTGTTCCCGCGGACTTCCTTCGACCATCCCAGATGCACCCCGACATGAGTTATCCCGCGCTGGATGATTGGGTTGCACACATGACATCGATTATGACGACCACACATGAGCACATAGCCGCTTCCCAGACTCGCATGGCAGCACGTGCGAACCGATCGAGGATGGATCACCCATTCAAGGTCGGTGATGATGTGCTTATCGACGCCCGCCACTTACAGCTCGAAGCGGACACGCTTCGCAAGTTTCGACGTCGCTTCTTTGGCCCATGCCGCATCCTCCAGGCCGTCGGTTCTGATACGACATCTAGCCCGGTCAGCTTTCGTGTGAAGCTCCCCGACTACCTACGCCAGGC